GCCAAAGAAGTGAAATCATATCTTAGTGCATCTTATCAGGAAGAATATGACCCATTACTGGTGATGTTAGTATGTAAAAGCATTTTGCATATGTGAAAAGTATTAAGATGTTTCATGGAAGCCTTGACGTAAAATGGTTTCAGTTTCCTAGAGGGGAGATTGCCTTTTCATATAAAGTTTCTTTTTTTCACATCCACATTTAACCCACTTTGGATATTTTATACGACTACAAAGTAAGCTTTCACTGGGGCCCAGCTACGTGCAGTCACTTTTCTAGTTGCTGTCTTCAAGGAACCTACCTTATAGAGTGAACAAAGTGAATTAAGATCTATAAAAGAGGTAGAAGTAAAGTGGTCAAGATATTAAAAGAAGGAAAAATAAGTCACTCTGGGATGACAGGGGAAGATAGCTCTTGCAGAGTACTGTATTAATTGTAACATTTATTGAGCAGAGTGTATACCAAGCCCTGTGTCAGGTACACTGTCATAACTCTCAAACCCTTACCTCTTTTATGTGAATTAGCTCATTTAATTTTCACCATGATTCTGTGAGATGTGTACTACAATTTTCACTTTTACAGATGAGGAACTGTAGAAACACTGTATTTAGGGTCAGAAAATCTGTATTTCAGTCTTGATCTTGCTATTGTCTGTGTATTGGTTGGAATAGCATTTCCTGAATTGATTCAAATGAAGCTTTTAATAAATGTTCATTGATAAAAATTTTCCTAATAAACTTATATTTGGAAAATGCTATATACCATGTTCCCTAATGTAGGAAAGCAAAACATTAGCCATCTGGCTTAATGTGTCCACCTAAAGTATCCTCTATACTCTATGTTATTTTATTTTAGTATTTTCATAGCTTTTATCACTGCAGTGATTTTACTTAATTGCTTTTTTGTTTATTGAGTTTCCCTTCCACTGGAAGGAATATTCCATGAGAACAGGGATTTTATTTATCTTGTTTGTACACTGTCATAACTCTCAAACCCAGATCAGTGCCTGGTATATAGTAGGCACTGAGTAAATTTTTCTTGAATGAAAGAATGAAGGTGTCTGAGAAGACCTCTTATGAAACAACATTTGTTTTAACTTTAACTCAGCATTTTGAAATGTGTTTGACCATAATATTCTTTTTCTTTGTGAGATACTCAGGAATATCTCAAAAAACAGTAATATTTCATGGGACTATTGGAGGAATGCTAGTTTGGTCACTTAATTTACAGTTCCACATTTTAATAGTCTCATTTATGAAATTCAGTGTTGTGTTTACTTATATAAGTATTTGGAAAAAATTGGAGATACAGAGTTTTAGTGATTTATATTTCAGGGTATAGTTAACATGTAATTTTTTTATATTAAAGAAGAGTTGCTAAGATAATTCAAACTAGCAAATAACTTTAAATCACTTAAGTTTCCTTGTCAGAAAACTTAGCATATCCTAATTATATTTCGTGTTGTCTGATACAAAAAATAATTTGACTCAAGTAGAGGTTTTAGCCCAAGGAAATGTAGTGCATGTAGTACTTCTCTGTGCTCATGTTCTGCATCAATTATATTTGGTCCTTGTTTGGAAGTAGATAAGAGTATTTTTAAAAAAAGGAAATATATAGTGTTAGCTTTCACAAGAACATAATGTGGGAGAATGGACATAGGACTCTTTAGTGAGGTGAAATGGGCTCCAGTGTCTGCTCTGCCCCTAAATAATATGGCAAACTTTAGTAATTTGTTTTGTTTACCTTTCTCTTTCTACTTCTTTTAAATAACCACAGTGGTCAATTTTTCAATCTATACTGGAAAAGAGTCTTTTATTAAAACAAAATCCAGAACACTTCAAGGTTTGCAGCAAACTATAGATGATAAGCTCTAGGCTGGACCAAGTGGACTTAAAGTGAGAAAGGGGAACTGCCCGTCTATTATAGCTTCCTTCCCCATTCATAGAGTTATCTTCCAAAATTGTTCTTTGCTGAAACATTGGACTGTGTTGCCCCCTTTACCCAAGAGAAGCTGTATTTCCTTGCATGTTGTAGTACCTGTCTTAGTGGCCCAGTTACCACCTAGACTGTTGCCAGAGGCTATAATGAGTACATAACCTTGGAAACTTGCTGGATGACTGCAGTTGTCATTGACATCAGTGATGGGTGATTACTATTGAGCTGAAGGCTAAATGCAGAGTTAGAAAATTTATTACTACTCTGTTCATAATGGGGACATTTTCTGTACATACAACTCACCAAGATTTTCACAACAATGAATTGGGAAGGGAACTCTTCAGTTTGATGGCAGTAAGAATCAAAACGAGAAAACTATACAAGAAAGGGCAAATTTAGGAAACCGCTCATTACTTTCCACATGAAAATTGTCCTTCTAGAACATTTTTTGGTTAATGTGCAACTTTAAGTTTTAATAAGGAGTCTGCCCCCTTATTTCTTTTATCCTTGCCTCTTCTTCTCACCACTCTTGCCCTTTTCTCAAATACATGCATAGTAAATATTCCAAGGATGGATTCATAAAATTGCTTTGGAAATAAGGATGTCCTTATTTACAAATATATTAGATTCTAAGTGAAAATCCAGCTAATTATATAGAAAATAGGTATTCTTTTTATTTTGCTATATATAAAACAACACTGATGAATTGGAGGCTCAAATTCAAC